TGAGTTGGTAGTGACCAGTTCACCGAGGGTGGCGATCGGTTTGCAAACGTTTCGGCGCTGTTCAAGGACACGCCATTAGCACGCGGTTTGGTGGGTACGTCCTTAATTTATAATGGCCTGTCACTAAATGACAAGTAATACAAACAACATTACTGTCTATTTGAGAATTGTCTAGAAAATAATTTGGTTGATTCTTTTTGGATTTATTTTGCGTAATGTTCTGAACATCTTGTCCCTGGTTTGTTCGTCCAGTAACTTCCTGTTAGTTATTTTTTCTTCCTTTCTGACTAACCCATTCTGAAGCTGTTGTGTGTTGGCTTCCAGCCGGCCTTTGCGCTACTTGACCGACCGACATGGCATTTATTTTCAGTAGTTTTCTCTCCTTGATTGGTCCGTTTACCTTCCCTTTCGCACTGGGGCTTTTGACAGGTTAATAAGAGGTACTTCTGTTTGATGTGATCCCTATTCAACATATTTCGGAGTCTTTTGATTCACTGCTTTGTGTATGGACTGGGCGTGCGTTTGAGCTTTCTGTGCTATCGGTGGTTTCTGTTAGTTTCTTTCCGGCTTCTTGTACGGTTTCAGACTTGGGTTCTTGGAAGTTTTTTCCCCTGCAAGGTTGAGTGGCTCTTTCTCGCAATGTCTGTTGACGGCTTTCTCAGATGATTGCCAGGCCCCCATAAATTCATTTTCATCTCTGATTCCTGCGAAAGACTTTTATCTTTCTATGGTTACTAAAACTCGCCGATTAGAGACTCTTGCCCCCCGAATGCGTCCAAGCGACAACAAGTTCTCGTCCTCCATGGATGTCTATGAAATCGTGTCCCATCACACAGCGCTACACAGAGATGACGGTTGAATTATCCTCAGAACTGGAACTTAGCCGGACGAAAACTCAAATTGATGGTTAGGCTAAAGAACACGAGAGAATCGCCATTGATTAGGAAGCTACCTGCTCGAGAAGAACAGGATTACAACTCTTGGAGCAACTCAACATGGTAATGGGAGGAGGAATGCAATCCACGAACCACAACAGAAAAGCCACACTGAAGCACAAATTGTGGTTGGTCAAGGACCGCAAAAAATTCAGTTTCGAACACGTTTGAGTCAAAATCTTTTTAGCAAACAACACTTCCAAATGGAACAGAGATTTCTTATCGAGAGACTCAACTTCAACTTCAGAGATATCATGAAACTGAAGAATTTAGTTATTTTAAGAGCTGCAGTGAAATCCATTAAACTCGACGGAAACACCAAGCGACAATTACGCCGAACCATCTCTCAGCCGGAACACGCAACAGAACCTTAAAGACTTTCTCCAGTGAAAGACAAAATCCAATGAAAAACTTAAGGGAGGATGGAACCAGTGTTGACCAACCGGTGCACGAGGAATGCCTAACAGCCATCAGGGACAAAACAGGACATAGAAACAAGGCAGAAGCTCTACGTGTCACCGAATGGTGTACCTTCATCCTGTGTTTGCTCTGCCCAACGGCAGAAACAGTATTCGGAGGCAGTTTGGCTCTAATGTCTACAACGGTCGTACCGAGGTATGCTACCGGCGGAACATGTGAGTAGTGTCTGGCGAAGTGTCACAGCGCATCTGATGGATGACTGATACGGAAATCATGGAACCACTCTGTAGTGTTTGCTGATTAATGTCCAGAGAATTTCCAGAGGACGCTTGAGAACCTTAGAAAATCTATGCTAAGTTGGTTTTTACTTTTTTGTCTGTGACCGCTTAGTTCTTATTGGTCGGTCAACAAGTCCACACTCGAAGGCACTTTTTTGCTGGTATATCGCCATCAACTTGACTTCTTCCAGCACCGTAGGGGGCGGTATACTTAACACATTTGACTCAAAACGACTTCTCAAGACCCATCACTTCTGCTATCCAGTTTAAATTTTTAACAACAAAGTTATCCCTGAACTGTGATCAGTGCAGTTAGATGAATCTTGATGCGAAGGCCACGTAATCAAGTGACCGATTACAACATATTGAAGCAATTCATATACTGTTAGTTGAAGATTGGAGCTTGACTTCAGCTGTCACGACCGCCTCTGGGTAAGCCTGGAAACCTTGATAGGAGCTTCGGGTCTTGAGCAAATCTCATAGTTGACAGCGGAGAAACGAAGCGGTTTCCGCATAAATCCGATGAGCTTTAAAGTAGGCCGCAACTCAATGCTCTAAATAAATTAATCGAAATGGCCTTACTATATTGCGTGTATCTCTGATGCCGGCGGATGCACGTATCTGGGTAGAAATGCGTCAGAAAAGCACTTGCTAATCGAGGGGCTCTTATTTTTACCTGGCATCTACGCATCTGCTGTGTAAGTATCACCTCCAATAAAGCTATCTTACGATAGTTTATTCGGAAGAAGTGTGGTATTCTGCAAAAACTCAACCTTAAAAACACTCGTCTGAAACGATTTGAATACAGAACTTTGCAATTTGACTATCACGCACCCCATGACTACATATGACATCTGTGAGCATGTTCCAACCTTGCGTCTCACGGTTACTTTTATTTCGAAAACTCGGAAGCTTTTTTGTTCCCACCAATTTTTTTTCCTTTAATGAACGATAAAAAGCCGACAAACATTCTACAGCTGTTTCATCTGGGTGGGCGATGCTATATTCTCATAAAGGAAACTACTCGCAAGGTTGCTGAAAAGTCTTCGACAGCCCACGACCGGTTTCGCCCTACTTAGGGCTCATCAGGTAGGCACAGTCCCCGAGTTTCCGTCAACCTCATGATCTGCTTGAATCCAAATTGTACTGTTTTCGAGAAATACACTCATTTGCAAATCAATTTGGTTTTGACAAGAGACTCAACTGAATCTCCCGTTTATGATATTCTCCACGAAGAGACTGGACCTTACCGTGGTATGACGGTTTGCGCACCTCAGCGATCCATTGAGCTATACCGGAGAGTGTCCCGTGACACTCACAGAGTCTCTCATACCAGGTTGGTCAATGGTTAGATATCTGATGAACACAGTCTCCTGGCCCTCCAGGTTGGGGGTTGGAACATGTGGCGACTTGTTCCGTAGAAATGGTAATGCATTTGCATTTCCCGCCAAACACCGCTACCTTGCGGTTAGGCTTTTGAGCCAAAGACTTTGGTTGAGGACCCTAATCGTCCTCCTGTCCAGGTATGGGCGCCCTGGCAGTATCCCAGCCCTCGTACAACCATGACCTACACAACTAACAATACTCTCATGCCACATCGGCCGTCGCGTGGTGCCATCAGCCGGGTCGCCTTACTTGCTGCATACAGCAGGGCGGGTAAGCGATATATTCTAAGTGAAAGCTAATCACACTGCTCTTTATCCGCTCGTGGCCGAACGGTTAGTGTTTGACCGCTTGTGAAAAGATCTCTGATTCGAAACTCCCTGAGTTTCTTGAGATGAGCACTGCAAATGAACCCCTTGGCTTTTCACCGCAGACTGATGGGGCGAAATTTCAAATGGAAATTCCCAAATACCTCACACTACCATTGGTTCTTTTTTCCCACTGGATAAGTGAAACGGAAACAGACTCTAAATTTCTGTTGACATTGCTCGCTTGTTCATTAAGCAATACTTGAATACTGCGTGTCTACCAAACGAGTTAAAATTGACTATCTTTCACACCGAATGTTAGTACAGTTTTATGTTTAAAAGTGATAGAAGTTTTCTCACTTTTAAATTTTGGTGGATTTACTTATTAAACGGAAGTGACCATCATCACAACTTACCGCATTTGTGGCAAAATGGAGCGAACAGCATCTGGAAATCGTATTTACAATATCGTCTTTCTTCATGCTAAAAACAAGATGGTGACACGTACGTGAGTGATGTGGATCAACCTCGTCGCACCCCCCAATCACTCAGAATTGAACATTTTGCGCTTAGGTAATACATACGAAATGCTGAAAAACACAGCCCTTCCAGAGAGGGAAATGCAACACTTTCTATGGTTTAAGCAATAACGGCATTTTCACAAGTGTCCGAAATTAGACTTTCACCTTTCAAAGTGAGAAAGTGTTGGCGAGCTCTCCCCAAAAGCAACGCCTCACTCCTCTCCTTTGAGCTTAAATGAACTCATTCTGAGGTTCAGCCCTTCTAGCTGACACTGTGCGTAGTCCCAAACTGTCCATTGGTTAAGGGAACTTTTGACACTACCAGATGAAATAATGTCGGCGAGCCAGTCAAGCATATTATAAACGGTTGATCAAGATAAACAATTTTATCGATCGAGTGAATGACGGCTGCAGACAAGTGGTTCTGAGCAACGGATGAACGCAGTTTCCTGGTGGAAGTATCGCAAAATAGCTATGAGCGGTTCACGAAAGCTGGAGTGGAAAGTGCGAAGNGGTTCACGAAAGTTGGAATGGAAAGTGCGAAGAATTGAAATACTATCTGTTTGAGGTCTGAAATCCCAAAATCGTCATTTGTTCCCGAAATGAACCCCTAAAATAAACTGGAAATATGAAACAAAGTGTTGAAAAAGGGACAGAAAATGAGCTTGAAAAGTAATGGCTTTTGTTGTTGTGCCATCAAACTTTCCCAAGGGGCTGCCTGTTGAGTTAGAGGCCCTGTCTGCTGAATAGGAATGTGCGGGCGTCGAACGTTACTCGCTTGCGAATTACTCCGGTGTTAACGATAGAATCAAATGAATTTTTCGTTTAGTACATTCCCCAAACTAAATGCACCATGACAAGGTGCTTTGGCACGATGTTCGAGATCTCGCAGTGAGCTTTCTTGTTCTTCTCAGGGACCATGAGATAGGCGAAGTTTCCGATTTCCTATAAACTTTGGATTCTACAGAAACACTAAGCTGTGCGTAACTTGTGAAATTTACTTTGGTGTTAACGAGAGGCTTAGTGAGTTCTGAGTAAGATCAATGAAAATCCTACTGAGTGGTATGGGAAACCATCGTGGTTGCAGAGAAACACGAAAGTCAACTTTCAAACCTAAAGATTAGAATGCTATTGCCTAAACATTGTGTTGGGTATCATAAAGCGGGATACGTTGGCAAACGTGTTGACAGTAACATCCATTAGTGCTTGAAAACTCTACAAGCTTAAGACAAAACTTACTGCTGTGCCAGACTACACAAAGATAAGCGGAAAATGTGGGGACTGACTTCGATGATTCTTTTGATCAACTCTTAGTATTTCTATTAGCCTGCACTTTGGAAAAGTAAGTATTATTCAGTCGGACATCCACCGGCATAATCCAGCCATGCAAACCATTCGGTATATCGGAGTTTACTGTAGTTCACAGTAAGTCAGAAGAACACGTAAGTACGGACACGGGTGTATTGAGTACACGCGGCCAACTGGTCCGCTTTCTTGGCGAGTCAGCAAACAACTGAGTACATATCCACTCAACCCACAACGGTCACGAGAGCAAATCAATCGGACACCCACCTAATCGGCCACTCAAGTCACACGCCAGATCGATGGTGGGACGACGAACGGACACGCACACGCGCAAACGCTTTGACACACCGAAGCAACTACTACAGAGTCCATATCTGACTTTAGGACATGGTTTCATCGGTTAAGCTGGGTTTCGTAACCAGTGCCAAACTGACTAGAGATGGAGTGGAAATGGTCCACTTGTCATCCCCTTTAGCTATGTTATCAAGCAGTGATTTCACACAATTTTATCGTGGGTAGGTGTTTATCCCCAAATTTTACGGCGCATCAAATGACCTTTAGCAAACAGATGGCATAGCATAGTCGTCTCTGAGGATGACCAATCGCGGCAACTCCCTCTGGGGCGTTTAGTCCCCCCTTCGATTTCCCTTGGGCGTGAAAGTACAGAAGCTTGTCGAATCTTATATGTATTATGAAAACATAATGGGTCAACGTTCAACCGTAAGGTAAACTCTGTGCTTGACCTGGTAGTAAGCTTACAACGAAAACGCCATCTGCTATGGTTTACGCTGTTGAAAGGGGATACTGGACTGAAAAGCCTGGACTTCATCATAATGCGACGATTTGTGTAGCTCAGTAGACCACTTAGCCACACTGAACGACGCTCGTGTGGCAGCGAGAATCTCTCCTGTCAGGTTAGTCAATGGATACAAGTCTGACAAGCACAGCCTCCTGGTCCTCCAGCTTGGGGGGGGGGTGGGGAATATATGACATTTCTTTCCCAAAGTATTATGAAAACCAGCTCCGAACGTAACCGAAATACATAACCAACGGAATAACCGTTTTCGTTGAGACAGATTTCATTGGTTGTTTTCCACTCGCCCTTGACAGATGAGTTGTATTCTTAGTACCACTTTTTTGACCCGCTTGTGCGCGACAGTGATCAGTAAATCAGCCGGTTCGCACGTTCGTTGACTTTTTCTGGTTAGGCCAAGTGCACCAGGCTATCAATCAGCTATCCAGACCGGGGATCATGGTAATAAGAAGACATTAAGGGAGACTGTGGTCCACAACACAAAGCAACCATGCAATTTTTTTTATCAACGTTTGGAATCAAAGGCTTTAGTCGAAAACCCCACACATTTTGCGGTATCTCGGCTCACATAACCACGAACTTTTCAGGTAAAGAGTCCTTCATGACTCATCGGCGCCTTTATCTCACATGATGTTCAGATCTCTTTGTTTTAATGTTTTCAAAACGTGTAGGCACGTTGCCTTTTGTCGTTTTCCTTAAGGACATGGGGTTACTCACAAAAAACCGATACTCTTTCCTAAACTTCCAACTGTTTACTAAAGCTTTCTTCCGCCGTGGTTGCTGATATACTGCTGTAAAGGAAGAAGATTACGCTGTTGATAAAAACAATGGCGGGCAAATTCTTAAAAAGGAAACGAAGGATCTCGTCTTTCTACAGTTATTCAAACTAGGTAAGATGGAGTCACAAGTGCACTTTTACTGACCTTCAAAATGAAGTGAACTGAAGTACCGCCAGCTCAATGAAAATGTTCACTGACTTCGGGAGTGTTCTAAAACCATGAATTCCTTATTTCTGTGCAGGACGGAGGTTCCGCCTATTTAAGAACTTTATCCCTTTGGAAAACGCCGCCCTCTAAACAGAGCGTTTTTCTCGTTTAACCCTTGTTGAAGAATTCCGGTTCGGTGAGTTTGACGATGATAACATTTCCTCTTACGAAAACTCCAACACATATGTTGGGTCACGTAAATGTTTTTCATGACTGCAAACTACAGGTGGACGATATAACATGTTTATGGTCATATTAAATCTTCACCGTGTGTGGGCACACTGGTAGCAGTCAACAAGTAGCATACTTCACATCCTAGCCAACTGTCCCCCTGTGGAATGCCATGTGACCTTTTGAGGCTTGAGAGCATTTGCGCATCGAATTTCCCAACATCTGATTGGTCGTTACTTGTAAGAACATCTCTCTGTGAGATAGATTCGGATGACCTACTCTTGAAAGGAATTGGTCGAGAAGCGGTCAGAAACGCTTCTGTACCTTAATCGACCACCCGAAACAAAATCATACTTTCAAGCACAATGCAGACCGCACTAAGTACAAAGATTTTGCTTGGGCAATCACTGCTGGCTGTTTTAGTGCCTACTATGGGTCTGATCACCGTTTTGTGACAGAAGGGTACAGAATACGGGAACTGCTTACCTCGTAAAATTCCGCAAGTGACAGTGGTTGGAAACATTGCACACAGCTGCAAAAGGGAGACGGCAGGATCAGATCGATTAAACCGGAATAAGGAATTCTTAGAAATATCAGGACATCTATGTTATGGTAGACTGACTGAGCCTTATAGAAGCCTAGATCAAACAAGGAGTGGAGCGTTTCCAACATCCTGTGGATGTCCTTTTAGTGAGGAATTTCACAGAATCCTAAGAGAAACGAGGTACACGAAAGTTTTTCCAGTGTTACAGCTGCACCAGAGCATTTCTGTACGTTTAAACTTCAGCATAAATGGAATTTAGGCAAAAAGTTATCTTCCGATTAATTTAAGAGCAACAAGTAAGGCAATTCGCATCCACCGATCTGCAGAACCGCCGAGTTCACGTAGATATACAAGTTATCGCAGCTTTTGGTCATCAACTCACAAGGCATTTTTTAAGCTGTCAAATCGAGATGGTAAGCGAATTAGCTAAAATAAAGTAGCCGTGTCCAGCTCGGGTAAACTGATTTGGTAAGACTCATTCCGGGGTACATGGTTTATTGATGATAATCAGGCTGGAGGATGTGTCACTGAACGATGTGCTAGCAAACGGTGTACAGGTATAAGGAATATGATTCACTGGTTGATCGCATTAGGTTGGTGCCTCCGGTCGTTTGATTTCTTCAGGGTGAGTGAGGTGCATGGTCTTCGGTGCAGAAGCCTGAGGACAACAAGGACCTGTGACAACACATGTTTTGACCTGGAAAACTGCGCTATCGTTTGGTATTCGTTGTCAAACTCGCAGGAATCCTATATGGCTGAGGGAAACATATTATCGGCAAACGGTGAGCGATCTGTTCTGAAACTGAAGTATGGCCGACACCGGACATTTTTAGATAATGGAACCGTAGTTTTAACCAAGTGACTAGTATCCATAGAACCAAGGATTTTCACCTGGGAGCATTATACATTTTGTCAAACATTTCGCAAGGGAATACTACAAAGAGTTGATTTTTGTTTGGCACTCAGTCTTTGCTACTCCTTTATGGTTCCAAAACCGGTCACTTCTTGTGCTTTTCGGCAGCTTTCGTACCGCATGTTTGTTTCTATCAAAATTCAGAGAACGGTACACACAGATCCGACAGTTCCCCTCACAAATGGGAAGGATAAACAGTTTAACTAACTCCTGACTACTCGTTAAGTTATCGATAACACCGGCACCTGTCTTATGTTGACATGAATTGCTAGCAGGGCATTGGAGGTAGCAACATGGAACCGCATCAGACAGGATTGAGTCAGGTACAGGATGCGTGGTGATTGCTGGTCATCAAAGCATCACACGACTGATAGATAATTAACTTCGACTTTGTTTCGAAACTGGGATGTTGAGATGTTTGAAGTGTGAACTGACTGAAGCAATGGGGTGGTTAGTAAAACCACAGGGAACCGGACCAACAACTCTGAGGACGTTCGCTCCGAAAGAAACAGACGAATTGGGGATTGTTGCGTGTCGACATCACATAACCAAAGACGCAGATAACACATTCGTTTTTTGAATAAAGAGGGAATTTTCGACATAAGATGCATACCTGTATCAGTTTTTTTCACAATAAAACCCACCACTTCTTATCAGTTTGCTTTCCGGTCCCATGAAGTGCGATACTGTGGAGATGAGAAAAATCCTGTTGGTTGATTAGGTTCCACATGTCACGCTAAGATCAGTGGAAGTTGCTCGTTGTGTCGGTGTCTGCCCCAAGGCACTATCGTTATATTTTCGCATTAGGAAACTAAAACTGATTATGGCGCCACTGGAAGACTCAAACAAATTGGCGGCAAACCCCATCAATCACATTTCATCCATAGTAAAAATGCTGTGGGAAGTATCGGATCAAGTACCAACTTTTTAACATTTTGGTATACGGTCGGTTTCTCGGAAACTCTAGAATTGAACAAGTCCTCAGACGAACGATGCAAGACGCATCAGCAGCAAGCACGTTGTTCTTCACAAACAAACTACGACCCTCGGTTACTCTACCGCGGAATCACTCCTTATTTCCTGACTATTGGTTAAATGCATTCTATACTGATGACGGGCAAGTAGTCTGTGTTTTACATTTTGGCGAAAAGAGAGTTTTCTTTCACTACTCTTCTAACAGAGCATCTATAGACGACGGGTTATTGATTTATCCCCTGGGTACTCTTGGGTGTCACCATGCCCATTCATGAATGTTCGGGCAACCAGAAATGTGCTGCAATCCAAAGGCTGGCATGACAAAACTCCACGCGGTTTTATTACTTTTCAAAGGTTGTTTACAAGCTGTCACTGCTTACGTCGTCTTGCTTTAGTCTTGGTTACTGTCGCTTGATTGAATGAATACTGGAATGTCCTAAAAAAGCAAGTTACTCAGCTGTGTGCACCGAGATCGGTAAATATTGATCGCCAAGTGATCCGAGTCGAATGTCCCCTTGGTCTGTTGGTTAGTGGGTTCTTCTAAGGCGACTATCTATAAGCGGTGAGGTTTTCGAATCTGCCGCAGTGGGAGAATCACCGCTAAAGTAGATACGAATTCACGTGCCCCAGGCAACTCTATTTATTAAGGGCTTATGTGGATCCTGAAGTTGTTTATCCTTCTTCACATCCAATGCTTTATTCCGTCCTTGATTGGTCGACACTCAGCCACCAGGCCGAGTTGGCTTTGTTGACTCTTCAAGTTGTCTCCTACTTCTTAATGCGATTTGGATGGGTGGGTTTCTGCACAACTTTTCTGTGGACTGCTTTTAAAATACAGCATCTACGGAATGAACTGTTCCTCACCTCGCAAGTTCTCTCCATGACACCTTTACAGAGGCTTCTTAAAGCAGAAATTCACCCACTTAGGAACAGGCACCTATTAAAAACGAACTACCATCTAAAAAAAAGTTATCGAAAAGGCCTGAAATCCTTTGCGGCTTCTTTGCTTTCAGTCGAGTCATCCAGAATCACTGGCCGGGGCTCAAGGGATAGAATACGGCTTGCAAGGAATGCTGGCTACCGTGTAAAAGAGCGACACACAACGGCGTACTAGTTTAAACTTCTTTGGTACCTTGACTCTACTGCTAACAAAATTATCATACCTGTTCTTGCCTATTTTGTGACAGGCTGTTCCACATCGGAGGTAGATCCAGTTCGAGGAAGAGCCAGTTTTTATTCACATGGTTTGCCCAAACCTAATGAGACACTTAGCCAAACACTAGTAGCCATAAGAGTGTTCGGAGGTGCGATATATAGGTGAAGAAAAAGGCTTCGTCTGAGGTAATCGAGAACAAGGTATGGACACAGAAGCCACATCCACTAGTGTATTCGTATAAAGGCCATAGTGTTTGTGGGTTTACGATCCAGGAAATGCGTGTAGACCTATGAGAAGCGGATGAGTCGTCAGCACGATAGATTGATGAGAGGATGAATGGGGCGAACACTATTTGCTGACATGACCAACTATCTCGCCTTGTCGATCATGCTGATGTGAGTACACTTCATTAGTTAGGTTCATGCATCCTGGATCAGTAAGAGAATAGAAATTCATTCGAGTCGAATAAGTACACATGATTTGCCGGACAAGAGAATTTCCACGGAGGATGATGGAACTGACAGGCAACTGAGATATGTCTAAAAATTGCAGAAATAATCTCATGGTTAGTGAAGATCTCAGATAAAAAGGGAAATCCGCTAAGCTAACGAGGAACAGACTATTACTTACTTTTCAAACTGGAAAGAAGACAAAAAGCCACCGTCGGCGACAGAGTTGTTACAGACCGAGAATACTCCGCATGAAGAAATGTAACAGGTTTGGTGGGATTTTCAAGAAGGAAACTACTCATAAGTATTTGGCGCAGGATTGTGCCCAGCCGTTAAATGTTTC